CTCTCTCTCTCTCTCTCTCTCTCTCTCTCTCTCTCTCTCTCTCTCTCTCTCTCTCTCTCTCTCTCTCTCTCTCTCTCTCTCTCTCTCTCTCTGATATTACGATCGATTTTGTTTTATCAATGTAAGAGGTATTTCTTTTTTTTCTTCTTCTTCTTTAGAAAATAGAAATAACTGGGACTAAATTAAAGGAACTTCCAGAAAATGCATTTGTCAATCTTTCGAACTTGAAGATCCTTGATATTCGAAATAACAGTTTTCCAGAACTCAATGTTGAAACTTTTAACATTCCTTCTTTACATCACATTTATCTTTCTGGTAAAAAAAAACAAAAAAAAAGAATTAAACATTCATTAACACTTTTATATATATATATATATATATATCTAATTTTTTTTAAAAATGTAATGAAAATTCGTTCATAAAGGTAATCCTTTAAAATGTACGAAGGATACGAAGTGGATATTGGACAGAGAGAAGGGTTCTTTAGGACATAAAATCGCTGATAAAGAATATTTGCGTTGCACGGTTCCGTACGATGGCAGAGCATTGATTCCAGTTGTAGAAATAATCAATGTAATCAATTTCACATTACAGTTTATTCATAACAACAATCATTAATCTATAGATCTCTAGATCTTTTAAACTTGTTAAATTTACTATTTCAGACTTTGAAAGAGGAATGTAGAAAGACTGTATGTGAATGTGAATTGGTATATGTGGTTGGTAATGGAGGAAAGCACATTTACAAGCAATTAATGGCTTTTGCTTCAGTAAATTGTAGCCATCGTGGATTAACCGAGATGCCAAGCTTTTTGCCCGCAAATACTACCACTCTTCATTTATCTGGAAACAAGGTTGCAATACTATAACTATAATTAAGATTTTGATTTTGTTTTGTTTTTTTCTTTTTTTTTCCTTTCATATTTCTTTTTGATCATTCATTAGGTAAAAAATAGGATTTCAATTGCAGATAAAGGATTTGAGGCCACTTACAACGAATCCTGTGTACAAGGGAGTGATAGACCTGTATTTGGATGGTAATAAAATTGAATCGATCGTTCAATTGGAGGGATCTAGTTGGATGGATCATTTTCGATTGTTCAGTCTTCGTGGAAACAAACTAATGGATGTTTGTATTAGATTTTTGATGATTGAAAAACACGTTACTGAAACAAAAATACCAAGGAGATTTGCATTTGATTCGATGGAATTAGCATGTTAATTAAGATCTAAGTGATTATGAAACGATAAACTTCTCTTGTTGTTCTTTCAGCTGCCCACATATGCTCTAGAAAATGTATTACAACACAATGGAAATGCAGTAAGTTTGTATCTTGGGAAAAATCCATGGACATGCGACTGCCTCTTTACACCAGGTTTCCAGGTAAAGTATAAAGGCGATGGAAAAAATGGAATGCATATCAAACGTTATAAAGATTGAAAGTATTGAAGTTTAAAATAATTTATAGGATCTTCTCATTAGATATACAAATCTAATAAAAGATATTAACGATGTCAGGTGTTCGCCCAACAATGGGGATGATAATTCCGATAGAATTGTAAGTTTTATATGTAAATTAATAATTTTTCTAATTAATCCTTTCTCAAATCTTAAATAATCTAAATTTGATTGAAATATATTTTTAAAGATAAGAGATTTGAAACGCACTGAAATTTGCGTTTCTTCCGATGAAGATTCTATAATCCATCCCTTGGACATCTTAAATATTATCCTTGCATTTCTGATATTTTTAATCATTGGAAAATTACTTTACGACTATTGGTTATTCAAGAAAACCGGTCAATTGCCTTGGATCGTTACTAAGATACCATAATATTATGATACACGTTAATTTAAAAAGAAAAAAAAAAAAAAGACTCACCTTCAGTCTTGCTTTCTGATCTTCATAGTATTGATGGTACAACTCATCAGCGGCTGCTTTCTTGGCCACACATTCTCTCAAGCCACGACCTAAATTTATTTTAGAAGAAGAAGGGTGAATAAAACACAAGAAGGAAATAAGATGGTGGAACACACATTGCAAATGGAAAAGAAAAATTGTTTATATCTCTAAAAGTAAACCTTCGCTAGTGTAACCTAGCGCGGAACAAGTGGCGACATAAGTTAAACCCTGATATGTTTTTTCTTTCTCTACAGTATATTTTGGAACCGAAACTTCTTTTTCGAGGCAAAGTTGGTACAACTTTCTTTGAGCTGTTTCTCTTAGACCGTCCATCCCTAGATTAATTATCTCTAACAATCTGCCAAAAATGGAATATGTCCAGTGATTATGATTGCTCCATGTTGTAATTGGTTGTGAATTAAATTTTTATTACTACATACTCTTCACGCGTAAGATCCAAGAGCGTACCAAGTTTTTCGTCCTTCATTTGTTTATTTGCGATCATTTGCAGAATTGTCGCGGACAGATCGTTTTTGGTTGATTCTTCGGAGAAACCTCTACATGTTGCTGTTAATTTTACGAAATTTTTATGTAATTTTTAATCTTCGTGTTATGTCTCATTTCTAAAAAGTTTTTTTAATTAAAAAAATAATAAAAAAAAAAAAATAATAATAATGTTTGTAATGAGAACATAACAAGAGAAAGAATATATGAAAGAATTTTTAAAATTAATAAAAGATATCGAATGAATTTATTATATGTTTACATAATAAGACATTACCAGCAAATCCACCAAGATTTCCACGAATCACGTAAACGCTTGATTTGAGACGATGCGGACTTTCATTGTATTCATACTCGATCGAGGTTTTGCAACGTTTCGCGTAAGTTTCTAAAATGTTTAACGGCGTCCTTTGGTCGACTATTGGTGAATTTTCATCACCACTACCCTTTAATTAAAATTGAAATAAATTGTAAAAATTGTAAAATAAATTAGACGTATAAATATATTATAAGAAAACGATAATTTTTTTTTACTTTGATTGAAACATTTATCCCATCATTAATTTCGATTAATTTTTGAGGTCTCGTGTTTCGTTCGGAGCTAATTTGTATAACAGAATCACCGGCGTCTGTTTCTTGACGATGCAGAATAATGCAAGAGTCCTCGTGCTCTGTAAAATATTTGCATCTAATATAAATTTGTTTATTAAATTAACATGGAATTTTAAATAAAATTACTATTTATATAACTTTCTGTTTTCGTTTCTTCACAATTGACACGTTTTTCGAACATATTAATTGTTTTTTTAACGGATTGTACCTCGTCTGTAATAAGAATCAATTTAAAATAAAATAAAAGGAAATAGTTTTCATAATCATTATTAATACCAGTATTTTCTTGTAGAGCATTATCCACTATTTTACCCCATTCTTCTAAGCTATGTGCCTCTTTTACCATTTGATAGTTATCTAGGTAAAAATAACGATCTAAGTATTCAATCAATATTATATAGTATTTCAATCTTATCGTTAAATAGAATTATGCAAACTTGTTTCAGTAACTAAAGAAGATTCTTCACTAGAATGTTTCTGTATATTAGAATTATTTAACGTAATCAAATCAAGCGATTGACTTTCGGTATCCTGTTCTTTGATAACTGAATCTTGACTCTTATTCAAATTGATTTCCGTTTCATATATACTGCTTTCAGAAACTTGTGTTTCTGCCACGTTCTTATTTATGATATCATTTTCTACAATCTGGTATGGTACAAATATATTTAATTGCTAAATTTGAATTTATAATCGATTTCCAATACCTACATCGTTTTCGGTAGCTGATTCTTTAGCGGAAATCATTGCAGTTGATTCTTCCGAATCTTGTGTGCAGAAAGAGGTTGATGTCTCTAGAGAATTGTGAGAAATTTTTTCTTAAATTCTACTTTCAAAAATGAAATTTACCTTATATATTTCAAAATGTAGATTAATTAAAAGACTTTATTAAAAATGGCTGAAATCTACCAATTTCACGACAAGGTGCTCTCAGTTGTTGGAGAAGGTCTTCTGCTCGATCGATAACTGCTTCCATTTCACATAAAAGCGGTGCAGCATTTGGAAATCTTTCAGTTATCATACTCCAAACGAACTCGGCATCCTCTGTACCTTGCAATGATTTCGGCAATTCATGTTTTTGACACGTGGAATCTCGGCGTTCAGACATTCGAACAACACAGGCTTTATTATCCTTATTTCAAAATATTAAAGACCATCTATTCGATTGTCAGACTGGCAAGGAAGTCATATATTTAAAAAAAAAAAAGTGTTTTGACTTCATTGACAGATTGACAACATTTAAAACAAAAGACGATAGCGACATTGAGTTTGTTTTGATAATATTTATACGTACACTATTTGTATGTTCAATGAATAAGGCGCAGAAAAATTAAATTGAAATGTAAAACATTAAAAGGTGTGAATAAAACTTCTTTCTTATAAATATATATCTTAAAATCCACAATTACAAATACATGTTCGCAGGAATATGATCTACTTATTTACTAACCATTTGATGTTTATGATTTCTATTCTATCAGACGAGATACAGAATAGATTTAACATTTAATGTATTTTTTGTTCCATGTTTCGAAAATGTTCTTACCATTTTAGTTTCATCTTTAACGTTATCGATTTAACTTAGAATAAAATTAAGACGTATTGCAGTTTTGTAAAAGAAATGATGAAAATATTCATTAACATTCCGTATCTCGTCTGTAATCACGTGCCAAGAACAAATACAAACAAGAAAAACAAATAATGAGAAAAGGATAGAAATTAGTAAAAATTAGGGAATTAGCGCCATCTCTGGATAACCACAAATGAAACAAATATAAAATAAAAAGAACAAAAGTAAGAAAAAGACAGAGATAAAACGGAATAAGAATTGATTATCAGCGCCATCTTTTGAATGTTAAATTCACTTTAAAAATATTCGAGATATCGTTAATTTTCGATTCTTACTTTCTTGAAAAAATATCTTTGGCATCCAAGAGATAGCGCTGATGGTCAATTCTTGTTATATCTTGCTCTTTCCTTCGAGTTTCATAGAAATTCTAAATACGATGGAGATTCTCTAGTTATTTGAATTTTTCCATTCATTCGCTTATATTTGCTCTCCTAAATGATGATTTGTCTTTTTTATTTAATTTTTTGATTGTAAATCTTCTCAGAATTTATTCGATGTAATTTATATATATCATAAACGTATACATCTATTTTTGTCAAATATATATTTTTATATATATATTTACATTTTTAATTTATGAATAATTCAGTTCTATTCATAAAAGATCTATGGATACAGTCCAATATATATATATATATATATATATATATATATAANAAGATATTATAAGTAATATATNTAGAAGAAAG